TGGGCTGAGGGCTCGATCCCCAGTGATGTTTCTCTCTCTCTCTCTCCCTTCCTCTCTGAAATCAACTTACCCCCCCCCCACATATTTTTATAGCATTTATTTTTTTACATTATTATATATTTATCCCATATTTTTTGCTTTCTTTTCAGCAAAATCACTAATGATTATTATTTTTTTAAAATATATTTTATTGATTTTTTACAGAGAGGAAGGGAGAGGGACAGAGAGCTAGAAACAGCGATGAGAGAGAAACATCGATTCAGCTGCCTCTTGCACACCCCCTACTGGGGATGTGCCTGCAACCAAGGTACATGCCCCTGACCGGAATCGAACCCGGGACCCTTGAGTCCTCAGGCAGATGCTCTATCCACTGAGCCAAACCGATCAGGGCATTAATGATTATTTTAATCAAGATTTTCACATAATTTGTACCCTCTTGACAGAAATGTCAGATTTTTTAAAAAAATTTAAATTCTTTATTGTTTAAAGTATTAAATGTGTCTCCTTTCCCCCCCACGGGCCTCTCCCTGGCCACTCCTACCCGCAGCACATGCCCTCACCCCCTATTGTCTGTGTCCAGGGGTCATGCTCATATGATAGCATTTCTTTTTAAGCCTCAGGGAGTCACCTGATCCTGCAGGGCTGTGCCATCTCGCGGAAGAGTGAGTCAAGGCCACTCCTCAGCCTTAATCCCTATGGGTTTGCCTGGACCTGCCAGTGTCGGACCTGCGGCTGCAGCCTTAGCGCCACAGGTGGCTCCTCCACGGCCACTCTGTCCCTAGTCCCCTCCCCCAGGGACGCGCCCCGTGCTGCGGGGCCCACATGCTGCCCCGCGTGTCTGGGGCTCCCTTGTGGGTCTATCACGGCTCCGCATCTGCCCCATAGCCAGGGAACCATCACGTAACACCCAGCTTATCAGGCAGACGTTTTTACAGTCAGATGCAAAGAATGTTTTGTTATTTTTAAACTCAGGTTTTTGCAATCTCCCAGAGACCCAGGGAAATGAGACCATCCCACGCACTTCTGGAGCGTGGGGACACTGGCCCCGGCCTGGGTGCCCGGGCCTCGGGGGGGGTGGGGCAGGCTGTGGAGGCAGGTGTGCCTGTTCCCACCCTTGTCCCCCTCAGCCTCCCTGACTCTCTGGAGAGGCTGGAACCCTTAGAGAGGAAAGGACAGAGTCAACACATTTCTGGGATCTTGTTGGTCCCACACCTAGTTCTCTCTCTAGAGCAGGGGTTCTCAGCCTTCTGGCCCTTTAAATACAGCTCCTCATGTTGTGACCCAACCATAAAATTATTTTTGTTGCTACTTCATAACTGTAATGTTGCTACTGTTATGAATCGTCATGTAAATCTCTGATATGCAGGATGGTCTTAGGCGACCCCTGTGAAAGGGCCGTTCGACCGCCAAAGGAGTCGCAACCCACAGGTGGAGAACCGCTGCCCCAGAGTGTGGGTGGGAAAGCGCTGACCACCTAGCCGGGTGACAGAGATGCAGCATGATGGCTGGGCGGGGGGGACAGAGTTCTCCTCACGGGTACAGACAGGAACAAAGCCCACCAACACTGCTGGGCAGAGAGCACAACTGCGCCCCCGAAGCAGGGTGTGCAGGACAGAATCAGGACAGAATGAACGGACGGACACACTGCAAAGGGCCAGGCACCTCTGATGGCCTGGGTCCCGGGCCACGGCAACACAGAGCTCACCACCCACCACCAGCCCTGCTGCCCTTCCCGTGAAAGACGCTTTCTCTGCTGGTCCTGGCCCCAGCACCTTCTGTTCCTAAAGACTGGGCGCAGTGAGCACCGTCCCAGACACTGTGTCCCTGGAAAGCTGAGCACCTTCCCTAGTCATCAGGTGGAAGAGCTGGGGGATACGGGCTGGTCTCTCCCCCAGGACGCACTCCCCTGGCGCGATGCAGAGGACTTCTAGTTAGTTCTACGGGAGCACTGGGATTTCTGCCACATTCAAGTTCCCTCCCGACAACCCCCAGCTGAAGCCACATCTGACTGTCACCGCGTCCCCTGGATCCCACACACGCGCTAAAGAGGGGAAACCCGTTTCACGGTCACAGAGCCTGTAAAAAGCACCACTTCATTTCAAAAATGTAATTTTTTTTAAAGCAAATCAAATGATTTCAGGTGTTTACAAAAAATCGTTGCGGTCACAGCGTTCTATAAACACGGGACACGCTCTGAGAAGGTTCTCCTGCGTCACGAGAAATCACGCGTAGACCGGATGCCACCCTTTTCTCTTTCCTGTAAGATCTGCTTTTCGTTTCACATTTAACATTTTTCTCTTGGTACCAGGGTCAAGAGAGAGCCTCCATATTTATGTTCTAACTCATCTTATGTGCCACAGGCCAAACACAGTTTCCTCCCTTTAGACTCGGTTACATAACTGACTGGGTGTGACCACCACGCAGGAGTCAATCAATGACTCAACAAACAGGAGTTCCCACTATGTGCCAGGCAGGGCCAAAGTTCGACAGGAACCGCTCCTGTCAGGGCTCCAAGCTTCAGGAAACATTAACTATATGGCTGAGGTGAGACTAAAGTCGCCTGGAGCACTGGCCAGGGGGAGTGTCCTTTGACTTCCTGCCTGTCTTTTGGGGTGCATCCTCTGTCATGAATAAAAGGACCAAGGACTCTAACCCTGCCAAGACTTCCCCCAAACATCCCGGGACCTCCACTGGGTATAGGGGCCGTCGAGCTGGTGCCTGAAGGTCAAGGAGCAGGACAAAGCCTAGGCCTGCGGTTCCTGGGGGGTTCTTAGGTCCTGGGGCCAAGAGCCAGAACTGGGCCTCGCTCAGGAAACTGCAGCAGCGAGGACTCTGCATGGGCAGCCGAGCATGGCAGCTGGCACAGGCGCTGTCTGGTGTCCTGGTGCCCATACCTGGCTCCAGCCCCTGGGCCACCATTGCCTCATGCACCCTCCTCAGCCCCCTTTTCTACCAGCCCATCACGACTTCCTGTTTCTCCGCGCCCGTCCCAGCTTCCACACCTTCGCTCATGCTATTCCGAGATGTCCTTCCTTCTCGTCTCTCTGCTTCCCAAGTTCATATACATTCTGTCAGTTCATTGACAATGTCACAAAGCCTTCTTTCATTCATCGCCCAATCAGAGCTTTCTTTCTCCCCTGAATCCCCACACACATCATCTATGGACATAGTTCTTTTCCACCGACCATCACATTTTAACTTGTATGCTAGTCACCTCTTTTCATCTGTTACCTGCCCTACGAACGGAAAGGTGCTAGAATTCAGAGCCCAGGTCTTACTGATGGTCATATTTCTAGCATCTCACCCCCTAGGTAACTGCATGGTTTTGACGCGGGGTTCTGCACAGCTCCAGGGTTCCGGACAAGCGTGCTGACCACCTGGTGGGGCGGAGAGCACGCCAGGGCTTCAGTCAGACGGGTTTTTATTTTGTCTATTGACTGTGATGGATATGAGTTCTTTCCTTTAAGGGTCCTGCTGGAGACAGGAAAAGCCACTGCAATAGGTGCTGTCCAGTGAATGAACAGAATCACACCCAGTGCCTCTAGTGCTTGCTCCCTTCAGGCACAATGAAACCCAGCAATCAACAGTGAGTGGCACAGGCTCCGAGTGCCTGTCCACCGAAGGCCGTGGCGATACAGAGGCCCTGGCTCCTCTCCTAACTGACCTCTCATATTCGAATCTGATGGAAGCCCCTCCAGCACTGACAGTTGTGTTAAGGGTTTAAGAGAATCACCCTGGCCCCTGGTTCTGTTGTGGTGTGTGTGGATGTGTGTGTGTGGTGTGTGTGTGTGTGGGGATGTGTGTGTGGGGATGTATGTGTGTGGGGTGTGTGTGAGTGTGATGTGTGTGTGTGTGATGTGTGTGTGGTGTGTGTGTGGGGGTGTGTGTGTGATGTGTGTGTGTGTGGTGTGTGTGATGTGTGTGTGTGTCTGGCTGGAAGGAGACAGATCAAGAGTGGTAAAATATATTGAGCAAGGATGGGCCTTTAAACAAAAATTAATGTTGCTTAAATTGAGGGGGTTGAAAAGAAAAGCCAAAGCTAATGTGTGTGGGAGTGTCTGTGTGTGTGTGTGGGTGTGGGTGTTTGTGGGGTGTGTGTGTGGGGTGTGTGTGTGTGTATGTGTGTGTGTGTGTACATCAGTACACCCACTACACTTTGATCTCTAGGGCACTCGGGGGATGTAGGAAAGAGATGCAGATTATGCTCATGTCACTTGATCCCTCCTCCCTCATAGATAAATCTACTTCCTCCTCCTTCAGGCTTCCCTGTCACTGTGAACGGCACTAACCCCCACTCCGTGGCTCAGCCTAAATAAAAATCGAGGCGTTTGCCTGGCTTTCTCTCTTCCCTTCACTGCCCACACCCAATTTATCAGTAAGTACTGTCCACCTCTACCCCCTGCTCTCAAGCAGCTCATTCCTCCCCGCCACCCTCTGCGACCAGCCGCGGAGCTCAGGGCACCTCCCTCATCCCGCTGGGACTGTCATCGCCTCCTAGGCTCCCGGCCTCTGCTCGCTCCTCCCTGTGATGTTCTCTGCACAGCAGCAAAAGTCATGTTTAAATCTCTCCTATTTTTAAAAAATATATTCTTATTGATTTCAGAGAAGGGAGAGGGAGAGAGAGAGAGAGAAACATCAATGATGAAAGAGAATCATTGATCGGCTGCCTCCTGCACGCCCCACACTGGGGATCGAGCCCACAACCCGGGCCTGTGCCCAGACCGGGAATCAAACTGTGACCTCCTGGTTCATAGATTGATGCTCAACCGTTGAGCCACACCGGCCCAGGCATAATGAATGATGTTTTAAAATTTTCAGCATCCAAGTACATACAATTCCCTTAATTTAACTTGGTCAATTTCCTTTTGTAATTCCTTTTACTTTGCATATTTTTTGGTTTGCTCTTAGGTGGAAAGTGATTTAGAGTTGCTATGTCTTCTGGACAAATTAAATTATTAAATTATAAAAAACAACAACACCCGCCACCATGTGCGACTTACGGCTTCGGACTTGGGAGGCACTGGAGGTGGAGGTAGGGCGATCTCGGCAGGCGGCACGGCTGCTCCCAGCGGCCCGGGCAGAGGGGCGGGTGCGCACTT